TAAAAAAAAGTGAATAAATTATATAAACATAAAAATAAATTGTATACAGCGATAATAAGCAAAAAATAGGATTTAATAGTAAAATTGCCTAAAATTAGCATTTTTACTAATAAAGTATATGCAAGTTGTTCAACTTTCCTTAAGTGTGTAAAAAAGATAAAATGTACCTGAGGTCTGTTGAAGTTATCATAGCATTTCGTGGAACCTCCATGCCCATGGGATTCTTGACCAAGCACTGTTCTCATGCAATTTAATAACAAACTAACACATGCTATATAGCAAATAGCGTTAATCCCACTAAACATGGTTATTTAAAACTTAAAAGCCACAACATACACTAATTCACGGGTGTGTGTGATAACATTTTTAATTGAACATTTCAGCTTGAATTTATCCACTTTTCTATTAAAAGCACAGTCGTGTGTATGTTTCATTCACAAAACTAAGAAATACTAAATACTAGGCACTGGCACTGGCAGGCGTCGAGTTAAAGCATGTTTACTTGTATGTATTAGATGTTGGAGATCAGATGCACGTTGTGTCTGCTGGAACGAGGAAAAGAATAAAGAAACACACACAAGCGCGGCGGCTGTAAGGCTGTTTCTCTGTACCATTTCATTACGACTCCCACCACATGACCAAAAGCACTCATCAACCAAATAGAAAAGACATGCGTCTGAAGCACAAACATTAAATTTATACTTATAGATGCAAATGGATCTGTATGATGCATTTGTTCCAGATATACAAATGCAATTTTGAAAATATGCTTGTAAAGGGCAGACCGATGCACTACGTTTTATATACAAGTGTAATACAAGCGCCAGTTAAAATAGCTTACTAGAAATATAACAGTATAACCATTTATACTTATTGTTTATCTCTATGAGTACAACCCATTATGTATTATAGTATTAAGACCATAGATAAACAAGTATTAAGACTATCAATCGTGCTAGTTGGACTATCAATCAATATTTAATTTTTCGTACGGTCAGTTATAGAAAATGAAAATGTTTATATACTTTTACGTTTCAAATATTTCTGAACATTATGGCATATCTTAGAAAAAATAGATGAATGTGTGTGTATGTATGTGATGTGCGGATGCAATTTTTTCGTCGCCGATTTAGAGAACACGGAACAACCGATTTGAATAATTCAAAAAACATTTGTTTTGTATTACTGGGAACACGTGCTGATTAGTTTTTGGCCAAGGCAGGTTTAGCCATTTCGAAATGGTAAAAAATGGTAAATCAGTTTTTGAGAAAACGGAGCGTCCGATATGAATGATTCGAAATGGAAAAAAATGGTAAATCAGTTTTTGAGAAAACGGAGCGTCCGATATGAATGATTCAAAAAAGCATTTTATTCGTATAGACGAAGTGAAGAACTGCTAAAATTTTTGGGAAGGCAGGCCCAGCGGTTTCCGAGATTCAATAAAAAATGTAAAAAAAGCCATTTGGCGGTCAAAAATAACAATTAGATATTTGCACATCAAATTATGAGATATTTTAGAGATTTTGATAACAAAGTACAAAAAGTTTATATTTCGATAGGTTCCGTACCGATATTTATCGTTAGATGCTCTTTAAAATAGCCAAGCGATTGCTTTGGCAAAGTTCAAAATACTCAAAAATATTCGAAATATAAAAAAAAAATTACGTAATTTTTTTCAGAATTTTCAAAAATCTAATATTTTCAGTTTTCGAAAAAAAAAATTTTTTAATTTAATTTCGGTACGAGAAGTCCCAGCAACTTGCCTTAAGCACTCCGGTTTCTTAAAAATCCTCTTAACAGAATGTTTCATTAAGAACAACTTGAAATATTTATTAACTTCTTGTAAGGTTAGATATAATAATCGTCCAAAAATAGAAAATGAAAATTTTTGCATACTTCTCAAAGATTTCTGAACATTTTGCCATACCTTAGAAAAAATTGATGAATATGTGCGTATGTATGTATATGGATACAATTTTTCGTCCACGTTTATCAATTGTACGACGATCGGCCCAACGGTTTCTTTAAAATTATATTATGTTACTATAGTAACATATGGAATTAACTGTATATAGCCTATTGACGTTAAATATACTTAAATAAGTATACTTAAATAACATTGATATATAAAATTATAATCCGATTTGCTGATTTTATGCTTTCTCCATATGTTTTAAGTCATTCTGAATCATTTGATACTATAATTGCAAAAAGCTGCAAATGCCAAAAACGGTTTTACTAATTCAAAAATTAAAATTCCATTTGATGAAACTCTCTATAACGATTTGAGTTGATTAATTTTGTGCAGCGATCGTTCACGCCGTTTCTTTAAAATTAGTACAAATGTGCAGAAATTTTAAGATGTTTTTAGCAAAATTTAGGGTGTTATTAAGACAATATATACCATTGTCCTCATACAACAGTTTTTATCATGAGCGGATGGAGAATTCTTTTTGGCCATGTTATCTATCATGAAATGACCCGACGTGTATAGAAACCGGAAATTTGTTATCCAAAATGCGGGGGACAGACGCCTGATAAGGATTTTAAGTTTTTCAGATGCTAAATTAATAATTTTGAAAACGAATTGCCGTAATTATTTTAAATCCAAAATAATTAGAATACTAAACGCGAAATTCAATTTTTCGGAAAATGACCACGTGCTCATAAAAAATATTGTAAGAATAGAAAAAAATCTATAATTCGAGTCATGCCCTATATTTTATGAAATTAGATATATGAACTTACGATGCAAACAATCAGTAAAATAATAAAATACAAATATGAATTAATTACCAGAAGTGGCCAGGTCGATCTGTAGCAAAAACTAATCAGCATGATTCCCAACTGATATCCTTTGAACATAAGATTTGAAAACTGGTACTTGACTTACAAAAAAACTATTTTCACCTTATACAAAATACGACACAGGAACAATTTTTTACCACTTGCATATTGCAAAATTGCAGATTCCAAATTAA